CTCAGAGAGCAGCGGGTTCACCGGCACACAGCAAGGCTCTGACGCTGCTGGGTGAGCGGTTCAATTCCCTCTGCTGCTCCGTGAGTACGGCCATGCACAACTACAGTTATTTCTTTTCAGTTAAAAAACATACAGTACAGGCCAAAAGTTTGGACACACCTTCTCATTCAATGCGTTTTCTTTATTTTCATGACTATTTACATTGTAGATTCTCACTGAAGGCATCAAAACTATGAATGAACACATGTGGAGTTATGTACTTAACAAAAAAAGGTGAAATAACTGAAAACATGTTTTATATTCTAGTTTCTTCAAAATAGCCACCCTTTGCTCTGATTACTGCTTTGCACACTCTTGGCATTCTCTCCATGAGCTTCAAGAGGTAGTCACCTGAAATGGTTTTCCAACAGTCTTGAAGGAGTTCCCAGAGGTGTTTAGCACTTGTTGGCCCCTTTGCCTTCACTCTGCGGTCCAGCTCACCCCAAACCATCTCGATTGGGTTCAGGTCCGGTGACTGTGGAGGCCAGGTCATCTGCCGCAGCACTCCATCACTCTCCTTCTTGGTCAAATAGCCCTTACACAGCCTGGAGGTGTGTTTGGGGTCATTGTCCTGTTGAAAAATAAATGATCGTCCAACTAAACGCAAACCGGATGGGATGGCATGTCGCTGCAGGATGCTGTGGTAGCCATGCTGGTTCAGTGTGCCTTCAATTTTGAATAAATCCCCAACAGTGTCACCAGCAAAACACCCCCACACCATCACACCTCCTCCTCCATGCTTCACAGTGGGAACCAGGCATGTGGAATCCATCCGTTCACCTTTTCTGCGTCTCACAAAGACACGGCGGTTGGAACCAAAGATCTCAAATTTGGACTCATCAGACCAAAGCACAGATTTCCACTGGTCTAATGTCCATTCCTTGTGTTTCTTGGCCCAAACAAATCTCTTCTGCTTGTTGCCTCTCCTTAGCAGTGGTTTCCTAGCAGCTATTTGACCATGAAGGCCTGATTGGCGCAGTCTCCTCTTAACAGTTGTTCTAGAGATGGGTCTGCTGCTAGAACTCTGTGTGGCATTCATCTGGTCTCTGATCTGAGCTGCTGTTAACTTGCGATTTCTGAGGCTGGTGACTCGGATGAACTTATCCTCAGAAGCAGAGGTGACTCTTGGTCTTCCTTTCCTGGGTCGGTCCTCATGTGTGCCAGTTTCGTTGTAGCGCTTGATGGTTTTTGCGACTCCACTTGGGGACACATTTAAAGTTTTTGCAATTTTCCGGACTGACTGACCTTCATTTCTTAAAGTAATGATGGCCACTCGTTTTTCTTTAGTTAGCTGATTGGTTCTTGCCATAATATGAATTTTAACAGTTGTCCAATAGGGCTGTCGGCTGTGTATTAACCTGACTTCTGCACAACACAACTGATGGTCCCAACCCCATTGATAAAGCAAGAAATTCCACTAATTAACCCTGATAAGGCACACCTGTGAAGTGGAAACCATTTCAGGTGACTACCTCTTGAAGCTCATGGAGAGAATGCCAAGAGTGTGCAAAGCAGTAATCAGAGCAAAGGGTGGCTATTTTGAAGAAACTAGAATATAAAACATGTTTTCAGTTATTTCACCTTTTTTTGTTAAGTACACCCCAGTTACTCATCTGACTGCACAGACACACATCTGCTGCTCAAAGTGTGGTCAGCAGTCAGTCATTTTCCTCTAATGCAAAAGTCCAGCTGCAAAACACTGAATTTCATTTCCCAAAAAATCTCTTGCAACTAAATGACATGTGACAGTTCTTCATTAGAAGCAGCACTCAGGTTCTTTGTTGGAAGCGTTTGCAGCAGCTGCATCAGGCTCATGCTTTGATTTATTGGGGACATCATGGCAGGACCAAGGCTCCACCAGCGTTTTAAGAAGAACAGACTCTGCAGTCTCTCATCTGTCTTACAAAGAAAAGGTGAACCATGTTGGGTTTTCTGTCCTCAAGGCCTGAAGCTACTGCTTTTCTCAATGTTTGGTCTATAAAATGTGATAAAATAGTGATCAGTGCCCGGTGCAGTTTCCTAAAGTGTGAGGTGACAAATTTACTGTCTCAAAAAAGCAGCAAATTCCCACTGCTGAGAATCTGCTGGACAGATTTGGGCAGTTTAACTTGGGAATAGACTTCTGCGATAAATCAGTTATCCAAATAAATGCTCATTAAGTTTGTGAAGCAACTCATCAGCAGAATTCTTGTCTGTATTTAAAAGATAAAGAGTGTAAACACTGCTGATGGACAGTACAACTTATCATCTGAACCTAAATCATCATTTTGTTACTTAAAATATTCATAAATTCAAAAGTCCACTTACAGGCTTTCAGCTGCGTTTCATGGTCTTCATTCAGTGAACACTGCAGGCTCAGGTGTGTCATCACATGCGGGGCTTGGATCATGTGATGACCAGTGTCTGTCACATGACCTGATCAGGAACAGTGTAAGTGATCCTTTGATCTCAGATTAAACTTCCTTGCTCAAGACAAGTATAGTTTGTTTGGCACTGAACTAAAAAATACACATATTTGCTTCAGGGGAGATGGCAAAGCATCATGGGAGGTGTAGTTGTTGAATGCTAACAGAGCAACTTGACTTGTATCTTTCATTACGATACTCCAGAGCGAGACGTTAAGAGGGGAGGAGTTAAACGAACAGTGTGTCAGATTTAGGGGGATTTAGAGGTGAGGATTTTAGATTTCAACCATCTTAAACTTCTCCTGGTTAGAATTCCTTCAGTGTTCAACAAATTCTGTTTCTGCATATGTAGGTCAATGGGCAGAGCAAGGCACTAACACACCTACAAGGTTGGGGGTTCAGTTCCTTGTGTCTCTGTGACTAAAACGAGATACTAACACTGATGAAGGAAACAAGTCAAAATCAAGCTAGGGCTGCTGGTTCCATGTTCTTATTGTGGGATAATGGATGAAGCAAGGCACTACAGGCTCATTAATGCTCAAAGGAAGATATGGAGATGGACAGAGTCTTCTGTACATACTCTGTGTTGTAGACGGCGGTGGTCTATGCAACCGTTATGAACATCCCAACATTATAGTATTCTATTCACTATGTTACCAGTTTGTTCCATATTGTCATTATCTAAATTTCTCCATCATCTCCTATGGTTGTTTTCTGGATATGTGCACAAATACAGACGAAATGAACGCAGAGTACAGACAGAAGGCGCCGTCTGTCTCCATATCTGACGTCGAGCATAAATGAGCCCTTACAGATACCAACAAAATGGAGCTGTACCACTGGAGATCGTGGTCCGGACTCAAGGAGGCTAAGTCATCGAATCCCGCCAAAGGACTGTATCAATGTCAAGGATCCTTCGAATTCTACCTAGGACCGAGTCCTTCCTTCAGAGAATTTTCAAGGATGTATGCGTATCCTCAGCGGGCACTCTTCGCACATGGTTTGCTTGACTTGAAGGCGGGGCCTCTTCAACGACGCACACGTGGGAATGCATGTTCACCAGGGTGTACTCACAAACTGTTCTTATGTTTTCCTACGAAAAGCGATGCACCCAAATTCGTACATTTCCCAAGTATTTTGAAACGCTGTGATCATGTGACCAATGCGCTGACGGGAGTAAAGAACGAAGAAGTCCCAAGTGGTCTTGTAAGGAGGTATGTTCGAGTGTTGGAAAGGTCACAAAAACCAGGACTTTTCCCTGGAGCTTTCCCCTCGAATCGCGTGTTCAGAACCTTGTGAACTTTGAGTCGTTTTAAGGTCCTCGCCATGTTTCTTTTCCTAGACCTAACCACCGTAACTTAACGTTAAGGATGTAACATCATTTGCGGGGCGCTAATTTGTAGGATAAACTGCTCATTCATTCATTTTCCATAACGGCTTATCCTATTGGGGGTTGTGGGTGGGTGGAGCCTATCCCAGCTGACATTGGCAAGGGGCAGGGTTCGCTCTGGACAGGTCACCATACTATCACAGGGCTGACACATAGAAACAGACAACCATTCACACTCACATTCACACCTACGGACAATTTATCAATTAACCTGCATGTCTTTGGACTGTGGGAGGAAGCTGGAGCAACATGGAACAACTCCCCACCCCAGGGTTCAGATGCTACCCACTGCACTACCGTGCTGCCGGATAAACCGTTGTGCATGCATTTTTCATGGTATATCAAATTAACCGTTCTATGAGAATACGCTGGTGTTCACCTACTGCTAGGAAGGAGTCTTGAATAGCCTCTTTGGACCCGACCCGTCCTACTAAAAAAGCATCCTTGACTTTGAGAAGCACCCAACGCATGAGGGTTCAGAACCCTGTTTAACTCAAGGAAGGTAGCAAGGCACTACTGACTGCAGGTTGTGGGTCAGAGGGAGGAGCTACAGGCACTGACACAGACCAAGTGTCATGAATTTGATTTTTGGGGTAATTCTGTGTGGTAATAGAGGCCCTGTCACCAGGAGGAGATGAGATGTTCAGGGGTAAAATCCTCCATTAGACGCAGATCAGACGCAGCTGTGGAAATAATGAAGGTTTTGGTTGATAAAGAAAATAAACTGTTAAATATCAGCTCAAACCTGAGGCGAGGCTTTTTTTTCTCAGTTAGAGACATGAAGTCAGACATTCAGCCCAGAATGAGACACTCAGCACATTTCTCTCTACAAAGAAAAAGCCTCAAATCCATTCACAAATCATCTAACTTCCTCATGAAACCATCTGAATCCACCTCTAATATACATTTAAGGTATAATTTCTGCTCTCCGTGTCAATGGTGAGAAGAGGATGAATTTAGGGAGGGGTCCGGCTCTTTGATGTCTACAATAACCTCCAGGAGAAGCCGGCCGGCGAATTATACCGGCTGAAATGAGCCTGCAAACCGTCCCATCTGAGCCAGAGACACATGCACGGACCTGAGCACACACCAGAGAGGTTCACGTGCAGAATAAACCGGATTAAAAGGTGAATATTGGAGCAGTTTTATGTTTTTTATCGGTTTACCTCTGTTCGCATGTGCGAGTCCCTCTCCTCCTCACATCCCTCCATCTGCGCCGATGAAGAGCAGGGAAGCATCCTCAGGAAAAGAGTGATCAAATATACCCTCCTCTGCCTGTTTCCAACCTCACAGTGTTATTGAAAAGAAGATGAAGCTGCACACAGGTCAGTTCTAGCAGCACATGTCCGGATCGTATTCTTCCAAACACATGGGAGGATGGAGAGAAGCTCGGTACCGCTGATGCTGCTGCTGCTGCTGCCGGCGGACAGGATCCTCCTCCTCCTCCTCCTCCTTTCACTGACAGCATCATCTGGCTCCCCTGAACCCCTCCTCCCTCCCTCCTCTTCCTCCTACCTCCTCTTTCTCCTCTCTCAGCGCTGCAGGCACAGTCGGGATGAACCATTTCTGCAGAGCGAGATGAGACGAAGATGTTTATTATCAACACATTTTACTCAGTTTTGAATTTAAATTTGTCTCCAAGCAAACTGAGGACTGATATTCAAACAGTCCCCAGTATACAGTCACACCGCAGCCAGTTTAATGAGGAGTCAGGGGTGCGTTCAGGTGTTGATGGGAGAGTCCGACAGTCAGTTGAGAGACCAGCGTTGCATTCAGGTTCAGTTTTAGACCAATATAATGTTGGCCTATTGTCTTTTCTAAAGTCTGTTTCTAAAACGTGTGTACAGACTCTAACATGTTCATCTGTGGAGAACCTCGTACCGTCTGGATGTTCCTTTGTAAACCTTTTTATATTCAAATGCAGATTTACATAAACTGGCTGTTTCCTCCAGAGAACTCAGATCAGCTGCAAAGGTCAGCCTTCAACACTGAGCTGTGTGTGTGTGTGTGTGTGTGTGTGTGTGTGTGTGTGTGTGTGTTGTAATAGCTGTTTTACAACGACATCTAGAGGTGCTACTATGCAACTACAACTACAGATTCTCAACTATTTTTTAACATCATATGCCTGTTACTGCTACCACCAGGGGCGTAAATATAGACAGTGCAAGCAGTGTGGTTGCACTGGGGCCCCTGAAGTGGGGGCAGGGGCCCATAGAAAGAGCAGGCTTTACAACTATTGGGGTTGGGTGGAGAATGGGCCCATAAGAGTGATTACCACCTTGAAAATCTGCCTGTGTTCAAAGAAGAACTCATGAAATTCAAAAAGGTGCCATTTGCTATATATGCGCCTCAAAAAGACAAACCATCTCTGTCAGGTTTATTTTTTATTTTTTAAAACAAAATTACGCTTAGTCTACATGAACTGTAAATAAAGTATAAAAGGTTTAGATTAAAAGAATAATTTCTTATTTTCTTTGATGTTTTCTGTCATACAGAGATGCAATGATGATTGTGGATAATACATACATTGATATTGTCAAGTGTTGAGTCTCTGTTTGATTGATCCCTGCTTCCACGTGCAAAATGGCATGTGCTCAGGCCCATCATAAAAGCGTGCGCCGGGGCCTGTTGTAACTACCTTACACCACTAACTACTACTACTATAGCCTAATAATAATAATAATAAATAAATAATATTTTTTCCCTAAAGGACTGATTTACGTTCGTTACAATAATATATGTGCATAAAGAAAAACACATACAGTTTTTATCGCTATTATTATAAAATATAGAGATTGACAATAGTGCATAATTTCTTTTCTTTGAATTCAAAATAAGTGATAATGTTCTTTGATTTTATATGTTGTTTTGCACAGTATATAGTTCTCAAGTTCTTTCCAAAATGTACTACTATATGAGCAACCATAAAACAAGTGAGTTACACTTTCAGGTTCAGTTTTACAAAAGGTACATTTGTTATCATTGTCACAGAATCATGAGATGTATATGTGTTAGATGGATATATGTTATGTAGTATTTTTAAATGTAATTCTCTGATTTTGTTTGCGATACAAAATTTAAAAGGAACAAGCCACGCTTTGTGCCAGTTAATATCCACAAAAAGAGCATTCCAAAAAAGTTTCCCTCGTGGTGTTATTTTCCTAGCATTATAGAAACATTTTCTGATATGTTTATTAGTGCATTTTTTATTCAAGATGTCAATACCATTTATATAAAGAGTGTTAATAGTTGTATGTTGCACATTCTGTTTTTTATAGCTTTTCATTAATTCTTTCATTCCGCTGGGAATGGAGTTTATTACTGAGCTAAAGTCTTTAAATTTGATTGGGAATGCTCTTTCTGTGAGAAAATCTTTGTAACTAAGTAATTGGCCATTAGAGTTAAAGTCTTTTAAATAAATAAATTAGATTTGTATCAATTCAATTTTGTAAATAGAGTGATTTGTTCCTTTTAGTGATACATTCGTTGTTCCAGATGACAGATTTATGTGGAGAAAAGTTATGTGAATAACATAGTTTCCATGCTAACAAAGCTTGTTGATGAAATTCCAACATCTTAACTGGTAACCTTGAGATACTAATTACATGACAATAAGAACCGAAGACCTCCAACATTCTTGAATATGTTGTGTGGAATGAAATGCCATAATGTAGTCTGGAGCTTTTAAGCATTCTTTTATCCATTTCACCTTAAATGTATAATTCAAGTCCATGAAGTCCAGTAGATCAAAATTACCTTTATCTTTAGGTCCAGAAAGCAGGGTTTTCTTCAGATGATGGTGCTTATTCTTCCATACAAAGTTAACAAACATGTTATTAATATCCTTACATGTGGAATCACAAACATTGAGGGAAAGGGCTGGTTACACAAATCTGGAAACACCTTCAGCTTTAGTCAAAAGGACTCATCCTAAAATTGACAAGTCTCTTTGAAGCCATAAGTTTATTTAAATTTTTTTAACACTATTTCCGATTCTATGTATGACGATGTTGATGATGTCTGTTTATTACTTGCTGGTTTTAATGAGCAGTTGGCACTTGATCAGATTTGTGATAATATAGCACTCCTAATCTCAAGAGTATCGTCGTACAATGATAATAAAAGCCTTCCATTCTATTCTAAATATAAACAAGCCGAAAAAATAATTACCAAATCAAATAAATTACCAATAAAAATATGAATTTCTGAGTTCAACTCCATAATGCAACTCTCTCTAAAAAACGAAAAAAAAAAACAAAAAAAAACAGGGTTGTAAACGTTTATAAGTTGTAGTTGTTCCATATTTTAAATCACATTTACATTTACGTAGCCGTAATATATAAGTAAATAAAATCACTTCCTAAATTAAGTTCTATTTTTTAATTCAATTAAAAAATATAAAGTAAACATTGTTGGGTCGAATCATTAAAAATTCCACTCCAATCTTTGTTATTTTATTATTATTATTAATTAAATTTATTTTAGAGGCGCAGGTCACGTGACTCGGCGGTCACGTGACGGACTGGGCCGGTTCCATAGTAAACACGGAAGTAACTTCACCAGGAGAGGCAAACACGGCTGCGGCTCCAGCTCGTGCTCAGTCGGGCTCCGGTAACGGATAGTTTAACGGGTCGTAGGGGTCGTAGTCCACAGCGGACCGTGTGTCTCCCGGTGTGTTTGTGTCGGTGTGTCCGGTGACTGAGGACATGATGGAGAAACTGTTAACGGTGACCGTGCTGACGGCTGTGGCTTTAAGTCAGGTCACCTGCAGCCCCGCCACACTGAAGAGGGTCACCAAGGCTCAGGTGAGACGTTACCGTTACATTACCGTTACTGTTACGCTACCGTTACATTACTGTTAACTTTAGAGCTATATCACACCATTACACTTCTGCATTATGTTAATAATACCGTAATACTGCTAATACTGTCGTAACACTGTGTTCAGGCTTCAGTGTGTCCTGTAAAACAGCTACAACAGCCTTAAAGGGACAGTTCAGATTTACTGAAGTGGGGTTGTGTGTTGCATTTCTCCACAGTCAGAGTATTTACACAGCAGATGTCAGTCAGTTCACCCTCAGTTTGGAAAAGCAGGCCAAAGTCAAACATCAAAGCTGAGCAATGTGTTTCTGTGGACAGGGGTCAGCAACAAAATGTATTGAAGCCACCTGAAAATGTGCCATGTAAAACAAAAAAATCAGTATCAGTTTAACTGTGCACTATATTTAGAATATTTTCACTGCTCTGCTTTAATGTCAGACACCATTTCAAACAGGAAAATGAACCCATTTGACTGCTCTCTTCACAGCCACTGAGAAAAATAGGGATTTAAGATTGCTGAACACAGGTGCTGCTGGTCTGCTGCTGCCTCCATCAGTCAGTTAGTTTGTATTATTGAGTGACTTTGGCGCTTTAAAGGGTCATTTCAAGGTCATCAAAGTCACACAATAACACTAACTGATTAATGCAGTAGTAGACCTGCAGCTCCTGTGCTCAGAGAGCTTAAATTACTGTTTTTGTCAATGGAGTCTGGTGACTTTGACGAGAGCACAGATGTGCAACTGAAGCTGCTATGGCCTGTCAGACTGAAGGGTAAAACTGAAAATACTCTCAATATAGCACACACTTATACTGTTTTAATTTCTTATTAGGTGGTGCTGTTTTAGGTGTCATTAGTTCAAGGTCTGCATAATTTAATACATTCAGCGTCATACTGTTGTTTGGCCACGTCCTCAAGATAGTTTGCAGTCTCTGTCAAGGAGTTGTCCAATAGTCACTCACTTGACAGAAGGAAACAGAACTTAAAAATAAAAGCTCTGTGCCAGACATTCACTGTACTTAAAAAGAAAATGTGTTTTTTTACAAACTTGACATGTTTGTGAGTCACTTGGGGTCCATTCAGAGTGGACCCACAACCCACCAGTTGGGAACCGCTGCTCTGAGGAGACATACCTCATACAACCCCACTACAAAAAGTCCAAACTATCCCTGTAAATCTTTCACCTGAGGGGACAGATAAAAAACAAAAGCACCACCTTTAATCATCTGTACCTTTATAAACAGAGAGAACTCAAATAATGACACAGTCACTAATTCTCATTGATTGATGAATGAGTCAGCTGACTGTTGGAGAAAGATATGTTTTCTTTAACATTTGCCAAAGTTGCAGCATTTATCGCAGACAGAACCTGAAAAATCAGAAAACATTGTTGGATTTTCACATTTCCAACGGTCCTTAGACACATCATGTGCAATAAAGGCTTCCTCAGAAAAAAACAGATCTGAGCTAAAAAATAGTGATATTTCATTGTATCGTACGTTGCATTTAAAATTTGGCCAAACATAAACTGTTTGCACAACAAGAGTCAAAGTCCGAGGCTTTTTTCAACTCCACGAATTTTGTCTTCGACTTTTAACTTTTAAACATTTTAAACATCAAAGTGTTAAAAATCAAATAAGTCATTAATGGTGAAAGGAGGGTCATGTATTGTCCTCCAGTCACTCAGGGAGGCTCAAGGAAAAATATCTGTTGCAAAAAACAACAACCAAAAAAAAGATAATAACCAAAGTCACACTGCAGCCACCCCCGTCCTCTGATGAGTAGAGAACAGTTCCCCTTTGGAAAAACAAACAATCAGTCTTAAAAAGCCTTTTCAACTATTCAAAATGGTGTCAAATCTTTTGATATGAATATGACAATGCTTGATGAGGATCTTGTGTGTTTAGAGCTCAGTGTGTTTACAGCCTGTTCTTAGAGTCTATTTTGTTGTTGGTTACCCAGCAACAGTCTCTTTGGGCACACAATATTCATGACTATCCCGAGGATGGAAATTCACCACGATTAAATTATTATGAATGTCTTTTTTAACCATGATCTACAATAAATCCTGGTCCCATCAATATAAAAATGTCAAAGAAAGAATTGAAAACTGATTGTGGATGTTAACTTTGTTGCTGTGGACAGATTTTGGGTTTTGACTGGAAGAACTGTGGGAAGCCAGATGCTCCGGCGGTCCTGAAGACTCTGAGCGTGTCTCCAGATCCCATCTCCATCCCAGGAGACCTGACCGCCTCCGCCTCTGGATCCACATCTGTAGAGCTCAATGCTCCGCTGGCTGTGAGTACACTGACACTGTTCTATACACATACTGTAAAACTTTAATTAGTAGCCTGGGCTATTATTTGCTTAAATCACTGAAGTCAACAGGCTTATATTTGGGACAGGCCTTTAGTCCCTTTAATGCAAAACATTTTTGGTGGGCGGGGCTTAGCTGGAGGCAAAACCGTTCGCCACAGACATTAGCTAGTGCTAGCTTGTAAGGTCTGTTGGTTTGTTTTAGACGATGGAGGAAGATGATGTGAGTGGTGCGTTCAGAAATACTCATTCTGAGTGTGGGAGCGCACTCTGACACAAACTGGACAGTTCATAAATTGGGAGCGCTGTGTGAATGTAGCGTTGGGTTATCCAGAGCGCCGCACTCTTAAGTCCTTTTACACTGCCAGATTTTCCGCAAATGTTTTGCCGGCAAGCTGCGAGCGTTTAGACACACAGGGTAGACATATTGGCGGAACCCTTTTAGTTTAAACACACCAAGGTGGCCTTCTGCAACGGGAGGGGCTGTTGATGACTTGTGGGAGGAGCTGTTGATGACGCCGCACGTGCGACCCACTGGCGGTGGATAAACAGGAAACAGCTGATAGCAGGAATTAGCGAGCAGCTAGTAGCAAGAGGGAAACACAAACCTGACAGACACTGTAAAGATGAGCAACTGGGGAGACAAGGAATTGCGCGCCCTCCTTGTCCTCGCAAACGAAGAGGCCATTAACCGTCAGATGACGGGGACGGTGAAGAACGGGCCGACTTATGAGAGAATCGCCGAAGGACTGACCAGCCGCGGCTTCCCTCCCACGTCACTGTTTA